GATAATGATTGCCTTCCTCCAGGAGATTCAGTGATGTGTATGATCAAGCTGACTGTCAAGCTGCCTGGAGAGGCTGCCTGTTTCTAAGCCATGGTACCAACCTCAGTGCAGGGGTGGTGACCCTCCTGTCACAGCAGCTGCACTATGACTTGGTGGTGATGCGAGAGGTCATCCTTGGCCAGCTGCTAACCATCTGCATCATCCTGGCACACCAGAGCCTTCTCCTTGTAAACATCAAAGTGCCCACTGAGGGAAGGGAGAGATTAGCCTTCTTAGAGGCTCTGGGTTAAATCTGGCATCATGCCACTGAGAGTGATGACCTTCTCCTCATGGGTGGGGACTTCAATTGCACCATCAAGACACAGCTAGACCGGATGAGGCCAGAGCCACACCACGAGCTGTGGGCCATGCTGGAGGCAGCAGATCTCATCAACACCTGGTGCAGTTTGTCCGCACCACCAGTGATGCTGCAAGGCTCATGCGCCGGGACTTGAGCACACGTCAACATGTCTTCTGGCTTGAGAAGCTGGTGACTGGGTGAGGGAGGTGCGGGACCAAGGTAGGTCCACGGAATAGGGTAGGGCAAAGGTAGGCCTTCCCCTGTCTCTGTGGCTTTTGCTCTGCTCTATCACCTCTTCTCCTGCCTGTACCCTGCCTATTCTTCCTCTCTATTCTCCTGCTTATGGTGGTTACTACAGTTGCTTCACTGAATAGAAGCAGCTGGCGATTGCCTTCCTCCAGGAGATGCACAGTGACGTGCATGTTCAAGCTGACTGGCACGCTGCCTGGAGAGGCTGCTTGTTTCTAAGTCATGGCACCAACCTCAGTGCAGGAGTGGTGACCCTCCTCTCACTGCAGCTGCAGTATGACTCAGCAGTGGCACGAAAGGTCGTCCCCAGCCAGCTGCTGACTATCTGCCCTGGCACACCAGAGCTTGCTCCTCGTCAACGTCTACATGCCCACTGACAGTAGAGAGAGAGTAGCCTTCTTAGAGACCCTGGGCGACCTCCTGCATAACGCCAGTGAGAACAATGACCTGCTCCTCATGGGTGGGGGTTTCAACTGCACCGTCGATACACTGCTAGACCGGATGGGGCCAGAGCCACACCTGCCTTTGGCCCACAAGCTGTGGACTGTGCTGGAGGTGACAGATCTTGTTGACACCTGGTAGGTCCTCCACGCTGACGCATGCCAATATATCTAGGCAAAGATGAGTGCCAGTGGGGTCACCATGGCCTGCCTCGACCACCTTTACGTCACCCAGCACCATCTGCTGTTACTGCGCAGCAGCCACATCATCCCATAGGGGCTCTTGGACCATGCCCCAGTCTGCTGCAAACTGAGCCTCCTGGCAAAGCACACAGGTGGGCCCCTTACTGGTGCCTCAACATCAGCCTGCTGCAGGACACCCACTTCAGGGACTGCTTCGCCCACCTCTGGAGGAGCTGGGAGGCTGCACGAGCAGACTACACCTCCTGGCAGCTGTGGTGGGACATGGGGAAGATCCAGATTTGGGCATTCTGCCAGCAGTATTCCCAGATGGCGGCAAGCGTGATATGCCACCGCACCCAGGAGCTAAAGGAGGATGTGGTGGAGCTTGAGGCAGCCCTGCTCCTTGAAGGCAATGACATGGCACTCCTTGAGAGCCTCTAGTCCTGCACGAAATGCCTGTGGGAGCTGGCGGAGGGTGCGGCCCATGGTGCGCAGGTATGTGCCCGCTGCCAGGAGCTGGCAGAGGCTGACACCCTGATTGGCTTCTTCTTCAGCCTGGAGAGGTGGCAGGCTGTGGCAAAGACCATCTCAAGACCCCGGAGGGATGGCTGCTCATGGACCCAGGTGAAGTGCGGGGGTATGCTTTTGCCTTCTATTGGGACTTGTTTGCAGCTGACCCCATTTGTCTGGAGGCCGCCCCACAGCTGCATAAGGACCTGCTGCACCTCTGCACTTCACAGGTCAAGGCCCTGAAGTGTGAACTCTCCCTGACAGAGCTCGAGGCTGCTGTGGTGAGGCTTGCCTCGGGCAGGGCCCCAGGCCTTGACAGACTGTCTGTGGAATTTTAAAAAGCCTTCTGGCCCTTCCTTCGGCCCAGCCTCCTCCGTGTCTTTCATGAAAGCCTTGCTGATGGTACCCTGCTGGCCAGCTGCCACTGGGCAGTGCTCACTTTGCTGCCCAAGAAGGGGGACCTCAGCTGCCTTTACAACTGGCAGCCCATTTCCCTTCTGTTTGCTGACTATAAGTTCCTGGTGAACCATCTCCGCACAGTCATGGCCTCCATCATCGGGCCTGAGCAGAGGTACTGTGTGCCAGGCAGGACCATCCATGACAACCTGTTTCTATTGTGTGACCTGCTCATGGCTGCGGAGCGTTTTGGCCTGGACATCAGCTTGGTCTCCCTGGACCAGGAGAAGGCCTTCAATTGCGTCAACCACTGGTATCTGCTCAGCACCCTCAAGGCTTTTGGCTTTGGGCCTCTTTTCATCACGGCATTTTGGGTCCTGTACCATGATGCCTTCAGCTTGCTCAAGGTGAAAGTTGTGCTGTGCTCCCCAGTCCCAGTGCATCACGGCATACACCAGGGCATCCCCCTCTCAGACATGCTTTATGCCCTGGCCATCGAACTGCTGCTGCATGCTGTGCGACATCACCTGACTGGCTGAGCCCTGCCACCAGCACTGGGCCCGACCACTGGCCCCCCGATCTGGGTGATGGCATATGCAGATGATGAGACAGTCTTTCTGGGCAGTCAGGAGGATGTGCGGGCAATGGTGGACTGCCAATGCACCTACGAGCTTGCTGCATCAGCCTGCAACAATTTGGGCAAGAGTGACACACTCCTGCTTGAGACGTGGGCCGGCAAACCACCTCCGGACCTGCTGGGGGGCCTTGCCTGGCACTGGGAAGGCCTCAAAGCCCTGGGATTGTTCCTGGGGCTGCCGACCTTTGCAGCCCACAACTGGGAGGACCTGGTGGAGGGAGTGGAGGCCCACCTGCAGCACTGGTGCTGGCACTTGCCCACCTTCTCCTACCACAGCCGGGGACTCATCACCAACAACCTGGATGTGGCGACCCTGTGGCACCGGTGCACTGTGCTGGATCCTCCACCAGAGCTACTCAAGAGCTTGCAGTGGCTCCCAGTGGACTTCCTCTGGGATGGAGGCCACTGGCTCCTGTGAGCTGCTGTTTACCTTCCCACCACTGAGGGGGGCCAGGGTCTGATCGACCTGGCCAGCAGGGTGGCTGCCTACAGCCTGCAAGCCCTCCAGTGGCTTCTGTATGCTGAGGGCCACCTCCCATGGCAGCAGCTGGTGTGCCGGTTCCTGCACCAAGTGAGGGGCCTTGGCTTTGACTGGGAGCTCTTTATGCTGGGCCTCACCTTCCTGAATGGGATGGTCCTTTCCCCGTTCTACCGCAGCATGGTGTGGGCCTGGCGGGCTGCCTTCCATCTCTGTCCCCAAGCCAGGTGCCTGCATTTCCTGCAATTGCTTCAGGAGCCGCTGGTCCACAACCCGGCCCTGCACCATGTTGTGCTGAGTCTGGCCTCCACCAGCCTCGTGGCTGCTCTCATCGAGGTGCACACCACCCACCTGGGGCACCTCCTGGATCCTGCTCAGTAGGGAGGGCTGTCAGCCAAAGCCCTGGCTGCCCGGCTGGCACTGTGCTCCATCTGCACTGCATCTTTGGGCCATTAGGGCTGTCAAGACTGAAGCAGTCACCATCCTAGAAGGCTACCTCCAGGCTCACCAGGCCTTCCCCACCATGGATGCCGCAGGTGACACCTTTCCACCACTTCTGGTCATCCTAGCGGTGGCCAGTGAGCTGGATGACTGGCTCAACACACTGCTTAGGCTCCTTGTCCCCCCAGAAGCACTACAGGCTGCCCCTTTGGCACACTGCCCCAGAAGGGACTCTACGTGTGGGTGATGTGCACCCTGCATACCCAGGTGCTGTCCAGCTGCCCCAACACTGTGTGGTGGCAGCACCCGGTGTGGTCTGGAGCCCCAGCATGGTGCATACTGTACATGGCACCCACTGCCAAGAAGACCAGCGACCTCCAGTGGAGATTGGTGCATGGCATTCTGGCCTCTGGCACTTTTGTGCACCACCTGGACCCCCGCCTTGGTGGCCTGTCCCTTCTGCCCAGGGATGCTGGAAGAGGACATTTTCCATGCCTTCCTCGACTGCCCCTGACTATGGTCGCTTTTTGTCACCCTTGCTGCTTCGGGCACTGGTCTAGGACTTCTCAGAGGACACCTACATCTACTCCTTCCCATACTGGGCAGCTGAGTAGGCTGCAGTCAGCTTGACCAATTTCCTGGTGGCCCAAGCCAAGATGGCCACCCTGAAGAGCTGGTGAAACCAGCTCACTGGGACCAGGATGGATGAACCCTGCAGCTCTTCTACCTGCTGGTGTGGGCCTGTCTCTCACTTGAGTTTGAGCATGCGGGCCTCTGGCAGATGATGTCCACCTTTGAGGAATGCTGGGCTGTCAAGGGGGCACTGTGCTGAGTTGAGGGGGGATGCCTGCTCCTTGCCCTGTAATGCCACAAGCTGCTCAAGGTGCAGAGGCACATCAAGTGAGCCGAGACCTCGGGTTTTGTCCATGTGGGCTGACCCCTGATGTCCTGAGGCCCCCCGGGCATCCCCACTGACAAGAACTGTATATATGTATTTATGTACATACTTCTTTTGTTCTTTCTGTTTTTTGGGTTTTTTTGTCTAGAATGTGCAAGCAGGCTTTGCAGGCCATGAGCCCAGGCCTTGTCCTTGAGGCCCAGATCTTCGGGCCAACCTGTACATGATCTCTAGTGCACCCTATTTGTCACCCTCCCCAGAATAAACATTTCTTAAAAGTCAAAAGTCTTCCTTTCTTTTTGGGATTTATTCTGGGACAGATGCCACTGGCTCCCATGAGCTGTCTTTTACCTACCTGTCACCAAGCGGGGGGCAGAGCCTGGCTGACCTGGCAAGCAAGGTGGCCACCTTCCACCTGCAAGCCCTTCAGCGACATCTCTACAGCAAGGAGAGGCTACCCTGGCAACAACTGGTGTGCCAGTTCCTGCAGAGGGTGGGGGCCCTCGGCTTTGACCAGGAGCTCTTCCTGCTGGACCTCATGCTCTTGAACTCAGCAGTGCTAGCATCTTTCTACCATGGCATGGTATGAGCCTGGCAGGCCACATTCTGCCTACATCCCCCAGCCTGGCACCTGCAGTTCCTGCAGCTGCTGAGGGAGCCCCTGGTGCACAGCACACCACTGAAGTGTCCCATGCCAAGCCTGACCTCCACCAGCCTCATGGCTGCCCTTATCCAGGTGTGTGTCCTCTGCCTGAACCATCTCCTTGACCCTGTTTGGTTGGCCTGGCTCTCACCCGGGGCCCTGGCCACCCAGCTGGGCATGAACTCTGTCTGCAGCATGGGCCGTCTTCTGCATGACATTCAGGCTGCCCTCCCACTGGAGGCAGCAGCTACCCTAGAAGACCAACTCTGGGCACACCAGGTCCCCTGCACCACAGATGCCCTGAGCAAGGCTTTTCCTGCACTGGCAGTCACCTGAGCCATGGCCAGTGAGCTGGCCAACAGGCCTGGCACCCTGCTAACACTCCCTGTGCCTCCTGACAGTGACATGGGCTGCCCCATTGCTTTTCTATTCCATAGAAGCCTATATGCCTGGGTGGTTCACATCCCCCATGCCCAGGTGCTGGCAGGCTGCCCCCATACAATGTGGCGATGGAACCTGGGACTGCCAGATTCCCTACCATCCCACCCAGCTTGGTGCACATTGCATAAGCTGCCAACCATCAAGAAGACTGGTGACCTGCAGTGGCAGCTGCTGCATGGTATCCTAGTCACTGTCACATTTGTGTCCTACTTTGACCCAGACACCTTGACCACCTGCCCCTTCTGCCCCAGGGGCATTGAGGAGAACCTCTTTCATGCCTTCATTGACTGTCCCCGCCTGTGGCTGCTCTTTGTCACCCTCAACCTGCCACTGTGAGCGCTGGATAGGAGCCTCTCAGAGACCACATACATGTGCTCCTACCCATACTGGCTGGCCGAGTAGGGCACCATCTGCCTGGCCAACTTTCTACTGGGTCAGACTAAGAAGGCCTTTCTCAAGAGCCACCGAAACTAGCTTGCAGGAACTGGCTCAGATGATGCCCTGTGGCTTTTCGGCCTCCTGGTGCAGGTGTACCTCTCACTGGAGTTTGAGCACACTGTGCTCTGGCAGGCAGTGCCTGCCTTTGAGGGCTGGGCCCTTGAGGGAGCACTGTGCCACATGGAGGACGGCCATCTTCAATGCACGCTCTAATGTCATAACCGGTCAGGGCGAGCGGGCAGGCTCAGCACTGTGACTCCCAGCTTGTGCCATGCCCTGGGTCCTCACCAGGCTGCTTTTTGCTTTTTTCTTTGTGTGGGAAGTTGAAGGTATTGTCACATGTATGATTGGATAGAGCAGGGTAGGAATCATTTGTTTATATAGGGCGTTGGTCTGCATGTCTGTGGCCTGTGTCCCAACTGCATAATGGCATGTTAGGCATGACATGTAATACAGTGAAGGGGTCTGTCACAGTGTGATGTTATGAATGTAACGACATGGTGCTCTTAGTTTGATGGTAATTTGTTTGTCTTTGCTTTCTCTGTTGGACCTGGACCCTGGAGGGGCAAATTTTTGTACCCCAAACCCCTGAATAAAGTATTTAAAAAGTCAAAGTCTTTCTTTTTTTCTTTTTTCCTGTTTGGGAACCAAACCAAAAAATATGCTATTTGCCCAGCTCGGTTTATTACTATGTACTTAAGCAAAAGTGCAGTGTGGAGAGATCACAAAGTCCTGGCCCTCCACACTGACGGTATAGGCTGTAATAGGGGAGCTGTAATAAATGCTGGGTAATCCCTGCATAAAGCCAAACTAAAACCCACATTGTGCCTGAATGTGTCTCTGGGTGCCTACAGATGTTTAGGGTACCACTTTAACTCATGGCATTTTACAAAAAGTACCATGAGTTAGAGACCCCCACAACACAACAAATGTTCACCTGTTGGATTGGGAGCTCGAACCTGCCTGCACCAGCCCTGGTCAGCAAGGGAGGAAGGTAGAGGAGAAGGAAACAGCATGGAACTGCAATTGAGGCTTGGCCAGACTAGATCTGGGGCAAGTGGGGAGGGGAATGGAGTCCCCTCATCTTGTGCTCCCCCAGCTACTTTAGTTGAAGTATTAAGGGAATCCAGGCTGGTTCCCTGAGGTGAGGGAAGATCCCTTCTCCCACCCCCTGCCTGGGCCTCTTGGGCTGTCATCTGGGCTTGGCCTGGCTGAAGCTGCAGGGTGGAAAGGAGCCCCCTTGCCTCATGAGCCCAGCTTAGCTTCCTCTGATAACCCAGATGGGGTAACTGGGGGTTCTGCAAGGTGAAGGGGCTCCGTTCTCCTCCTGGCCCCCCTCCAGTACTGGCTAGGTCAAGTCCAGCTCATAGCTATATGCTGCTCCTTTTCCCTTCCCCACTGACCACCCTGGGGCAGGGCTGGGCTGGTATTCACCATCATGAACACCAGCCCAGTCTCACAAAGCATGAAAAATTAACTCTCAAGGGAACACAAGTTCCCTGAAGCGTGGTGCTTTAGAGCACTTTAATCTAATACCTCATTTGATGAGGGCTAATTTTTCATGCTATTGGCCACTTTAAAAGTACTCTGCATGTTTACTATGCTATAGCTGTAGAGCACATAGTTATAGGACTTGATTTGGCAAAAAATATAACTTGTGTAAGTGCCCTTTGTCTCCCTAACACCACATGGTGTTAGAAGTGGACCTGATTCCTTTCTATATGGAATAAAAAAGAGAGAGAGAGAGAGAATGAGTTGTCCCCAAATTGCCAGTCAGGGAGAGACTATGTGCTCTGCATCAGGGAGAAGACAGATTGAAAGCTCAGTGCAACTATGACACAGATGGCTCTGTTGGAGAAACTTAACTGTGGGAATGGAGGCAGCTGGCCTTGCTTGATCAGAAGGTTTGATTCATTCTGGAAGGTTTCAGATTTAGCAGAAAGAACAGAGGAAAATCAGTGTAATACCCCATTCTCTTCCATGAAAGAGATGGCAATTGATATTTGATGTGCCCTCGCTTCGGAGGAAAAGAAAGGCTAGAAAAAGATTAGATAGATTTTTGTGGCCCATTATATAGGGGGGAAACCACATTATATATGAAAGAACTAATTTTAATACGAGATACCAGGAATGAGGGGAACAGCTGAATGTTTTATCATCACACTTTTGCTAAATACTAAAATTATCAAATTTTGAACAAACTCCTTAAAGAGATGGGGTTGTTGTAGGCATCAGAGATGCAAGCTTCTGAGCACAACTGCACTTAGATCCAGAACACAAAGTAGCAAAAACCATAACAAAAGTTAAGATGCAAAAAAAAATAAAGAAACTGCAGTATGAGTTACAGGCTGACAATTTACCTGAAGGATCATTGGATATCATTGATATAATAAATGGACAAGATCTAAGAGGGAACAGACACTCACATCCAAGATACAATATAAAAACAGAAAAAAAATGGAGAAAAAGTAATCAAGAAATGTCTAGAGTGAAAGGTGTGGCAGATGTGGCAAAACACCAGAGCATAATTGGCAATCATATCCAGCAATAAATACAGAATGCAGGAGGTACCACAAGAAAGGACTTTTTACAAGGAGTGAATATTATACAAGCCAGTGGAAAGAATTCAAGAAAGGGAAGTAGCATCAGGTGACAATGAACCTATGTTACTCAGAACTATATCTTCACTAGAAGAATCAACAGCTTGAGACACTGAAGTACATCTCAATGGTCAAATCATTATATTCAAAATAGACATATGAGCTACACTTACAGCAATCCCTACAAAAGATTATGATCACTCCTGGGATGGAGACCTGCAAAGGTCAGATGAAATTCATAGAGGGGCAAGTAACACTGCAATAGAAGTGTGTTACCAGTTAAGGAAAAATTGGAAAAAAGAGGAAAAATCTTCTCAACCTATTTATGTAGTGCAAGGGTTAACATTCCCCTTACTGGAATTGCCAGCAATATAGGGACTATGCCCAGTAGAAAAAATGGACTCTATTAATGGCAAAATGAAAACCACACACAGATATAATATTCAGGTCTTCACTGGGTTGAGGAAGCTATCAGGAAAATATCAAATTAAATTGGTGCCATCTTCAACTCCATTTGCTCTGACAACTTCTTAGCGCATCCCCAGTCTTTTGCAACAGAAAGTCAAGGAAGAATTAAAGAGTATGAAAGCAATGAGGATTGTAAACCAAATAGATGAATCCACAGACTGGTGTGCAAGAATAGTTGTAGTACCAAAACCCAATGGTAAAATTTGCATTTGTGTGGCTCTTACTCAACTTAACAGAAGTAAGCAGAGAAAGTTGCTTGCTTCCTGCAGTACAACAGTCACTGTGTCAGTTGTCAAAAGCTAATGTATTTTTTAAATTAGATTCTACAGCTTGGTTTGGGAAATCCTCTTGCCAAAGAAGCTAGGCTATTAGGTACATTAATTACAACTGTTCAGGAGATATATTTCAATTGTCTTCCTTTTAGCATACTGCCAGCACCAGAACATTTCCAAAAATGAATCTTTCAGATTGTGGTGTATCTTTGTAGCATACTTTGCCATGTAGAGGACATGTTGGTATATGGCAAAAATAAACAAGAACACAATGAAACTGTACATGCCGTTTTGTGAAACTTTCAGCAATCTGGTCTCACCTTGGATGAGAAATGTGAATTTGGGAAGGAACAAATAAAATGTGTTGGAGATATCATTAAGAAAAAAATGGAATTCAGCCAGACCAAGACAAAATAAAGGGTTTGCATGCCTCGTTTGAACCCCCAAGATATTCATGCCATAAGATGATTGATGGTATGGTAAACCAGTTTAGAAATATTTTTCCCCCCAAATTTAGCACAGCAAACTAAATTCTTAAGAGATCACCTTAACAGATGCAATATGTGGTTCCAGAGTAATGCCCAACAAGGGATGTTCAATGCAGTCAAAGAATTACTAGGGTCACCACTTGTTTTAGTACGGTATTCAGGAAAATATCCCACAGTAGTCACAGCAGATTCATGTTTATATTTTTCAGAGTAGTACTCATTCAGACAGAACCAGGAAACTTTTATATATATATATAAAAGTTGCATTTATAATATACATGTTGCATTTATATAAAGAGGTCTTACAGACACTGAGCAATGCTATGCTGAAGAGGAAGAAGAATCCTTGGCAATCACTTAGGCCTGTGGACAGCTCAATTCTTACTTGACTGGTCTGAATTTTAAAATAGAAACAGATAATAAACACCTGATAGAACAGCTGAGATCCGAAGCCTTGGATGACCTTCCACCCAAAATTCAAAGATTTTGACCATGACTAATGTGATTTTCTTTCACTATTGAACATTTACCAGGGAAGTTTCTCATAACCCCAGGCATTTTCCAGAGCACCAGTTAGGCAGAGAGCAACAGAAGATGAAATTACTTCCAGAAAAGTTTTAATATATATATATCAACCATGTTCTGCCATGTTGTCAGCATTGTAAACTAAAGTTTACTTTGGTCCCCTCTCCTGATGCACTTTGTGCATGTGCATTGTTGAGTAACTTGAAGAATTTGTTATAACATCCTAGAAACACTGACATTTTTCACCACTGACCCAATTAAATTGATTAAGCATGCATGGTAGTGAGTGTAAGAATGGCAGGAAAGTCTGAAGCCTTGTCTGAGGTAAAGTGAGCTAACCACTGTGATTGATGGGTAAGTGGCAACATGCAAAGAAGAAATGATTGATGATAGGGATGATTGATGGATGGCAAAATAGCATGACTGGATAATTGAGAATGAGGTGATATGTTGTAGATGAAAATATACAAGGTCTCCACAAACCCTTGGCTTTGTGGCAGAGTGCAGTATCATGGTGTGGTATGTGGAGTATGTTATTAATTGGTGATTGTAAGTGCAGTGGCTATTGCTTGATATCTGTGCAGTAAGTGTGAAGGAAGAGTGAAGAAGTAAGGCTCCTCTGTAACAGAATGATGCTGCTGTGATATATTCACCTGTACACCTCAGTCCCCAAGTGTGGCTTACTTAGGCCAGAGAAAGAGCCTGCCTGCAGGGGTTATGCATAGGGGGTGCATGCGGGTGCAGGTGCACCCCCTGAGTCTGGCGGTGCATCCCCTACAAAAAGTGTCATTGGCACCTGCGGGCAGTTGCTACTCACCACTCACTGCTGGCACCACCGGCGATGTCTGTGGGTGGTTCACGATCCCTGCTAGCTGCCACTGATGCTGCTGGCAGTGGTTGTGGGTGGTCACTGACCCTGACAGCTCCGGCAGTGTCTGCAGAAGCTCACCCACTTACCACCGCCATGCTCCCGCCACTCCCACCACTCACGCTGCCACACTCCCACCATCACCATGCCCCCCCCCCCAGTCTCCAG